GTCTGCTAAATGACAAAATTTAAATATAATGTAAATGTAAATAACAAAACTAAATTGAAATTTTAAAACGAGCCCCAAATCAAATAAATAAAACAAATAAAAGAAATCTCTTCATATAAACAAACTAATTTTAAATGGAAAGAGCACAGACAAAGACTTAGAGGCAACCACTGCATTTTAATCATGATCCAAACAAAGATGCTGCATACATGCAACATGAGCAGTTTTTAATCTAAATTAAATTGAATAATTTCGAAATTTGAAGCAAAATCAGAATGGTTTGACTTCAGTTTTGTGAAACTATACATAAAAAATATCTGCATGAAACAGAAACAGCAGACGAGCTGAATGAGACGCAGATTCACTCTCTGCCAGCAGGTGGCGCTTAAAGCGTTTCCTTGGTTTCCGCTGTAAACAAAGCAGCGCTGCACTTATGAACTTTAATATGTATTATTCAGAGGCAAGAGAAAAAGAAAAAATACCATCGAAAGACAGTAAGTTCCCCTCAGACATGCATTCATTTAAACTCCTACCCCTAACTGAATTGTGATTTGTTTAGCATCTCAACCGATTTGAATCATCACATATTTGAATCGATTTTCAACCAGCTCGCGGCAAAAAGCAACTAAAGTACATTTATTTTGTTTAATCACCAAATATTAATGTAACTGTCTTTATAACTGCTGCATGACAGAATCTAATACATTTGGCTCCTAGTTTAACCTTTAGGAGCCAAATTATAAAATGTAAAAAAAAAATTATAGGCCTATGATTCTAAAATATTTATAGACATCAAACAGATTGATCATATCTACAGAAAGATCCATCAAATCTTGAACATTTCATGTTTATCAGGGAGAGAAAGATATTATAGATGTTCAAGAGAAAGATTTAGCCTACTAGAAATAACATGCATTACAAAAGCAATGTTTAAAATCACATTTGGTCTTGCATAAAATGCACAATTTTACCTCACTGAAATCAAAAACACATTTGATTATAGGAACCAAAAATTTAAATATAAAAAAAATATGGAAATAGCTTATACAAATATTTATAGACATCAAACGGGTCAGTCATACCTACAGATCCATACATTTTAATTTCATGTCATATAATAATCCATAAGGGAGAATGGTTCAAGAGAGAGATTTTCTAAGTACTGTAAAAAACAAAAAAACTATCAACCGATCTGTCAGAATCACTGATCAATATCAATGTCAATATCGATCAGAACTACTGAGCTCTCAATATGCACCTGCATTATGAAAGCAATCTTTAAAAACACATTTGATCATGTTTCTTGCATAAAATGCACAATTTTGAAAAATATTTTTTCCTATTTAAATATTTGTAGTGACTAAACCACTTGCCAGAGTATGTCAGAATACTAAAAATATAAAAAAAATAGCAAAGAACGATTAAACTAAATGACACATAACTGCAATAACTGTTCTGTTCAGTTGACTGCCACGTGACAGAATCTAATTCATCACCTGTTTAACTTTTTAATTCGATTTTATTACATGTAAAAGTTAATACTGCAAAAGTAAATACTTTAATAAAAGACAATTCAACAAAATCGAAATAAAAAGCACAATATATGATAACTGTGCTATTTTTTTACAGCTTCTACCTGGTTAATCTCATAATTCGGGAGAACTGCGTCCACTTTCATACAAAGATGCTGTGTAGCAAATACGGTTGCAAATACTTGCAAAAATGATGACTTAAATAGTCTTTTACAGTAAAATACTATTTTTACTAAATGTGAATCATAGTTTTTAATCAGTGAAAATGAATTCAAAAATCCTCTAGACAAAGCAAGCACAACGCCAGAAAAGCCTTTAAGAAGAATTCACCGGTGTTCATTTACATTTCATCATTCTGCAGAATGAGGACCATCAAAAGCAATTAATCAAATTTATTATTCACAGTCAACACAATTGTGACCAATGTGTTTATTAGTTTAATTTAAATCCATCCTTCAATTAATACGATTTTCTGGCATTATAAATGCAAAGCACTGACCCTGGGAAAAGATCCGAAATTATAAAAGCAATAAAGTCAGTTCATTTCAGTGAAATTTAATTAAATCAATTTCGCATTGATTTGAACAATTTAGTCGTTTTATCACATTTTATCAAATTGTTTCATCACACATTACAGCTGATTTACTGTGATGAATTTATTGTTCAAATATACTACAATTAATTCTACAAAACACACAGATCACAGATAAGATCTAGTTTATGATTACGCCAAAAAACACAACAAATACTGAATATGTATTTGTTATATTTGTTTGTGATTTAATAAATAAATCAATTTTTCACAAGTACATTGTGAGCTTTCCAAAGAATACAAACAGCTGCTTATTCTCGCAGCTAGAAAACTCTCTCTATGGTATTGTCACTAAGGCAGTGCTACATGATCATATGATTTACATTTCAATTATTCATGTAATTAAAACAGCAGTAACGTAATGCATGAATCAAATGCAAGAGGCAAAGCGCAGCTGTCATGTATTCTCATCATTTACGTTCCTCAAGAAACATCACGTTTAGAGAAAACAAGTCAATAGATCAGCACCGCCACACGCTCAGGTTCACATCTCTGTTTCATTTGACTTTTTGGAAAGATGAATGTCTAAATACCAGCACTGAATTCACATCTGGACTGATGAATGACATTTCCAGTGTCTTCAGCTCAACATTTGTTTCTGTACATCAGCTCTCACTGATTCGTTTTTGCCACGGCATTACGTTTAATTCAGCCGTGTGGGAAATTAATGCATTTCATTTCTCTTAATTGACATAACAGGCACAAAAGCATTCTGATTTAACACTTACGAAGGGGAGAAATTAAAAATCCATATCATGAGAGAGAAGTGCATTTATGCGAAAAGTCAGGAGCAAAACCCTTCCCACGCAACTATATTAGATGTTTGTTTTCTATTGAAATATCAATCTAAATAGCAAAAAACACTTCAGTTAACAGGATTAGATCTTGGTAAAAACACACACACACACACACACACACACACACACACACACACAAATAAATGAAAGAAGTACATATGATTTAAATAAACAAATATTTCTAGCTGTTAGTAATAATGAAGCAAAATCTGTGAATCAGTCATTAATATTATTATACATTACCTATAACATTTTGTTTTGTATTAATTACCTATTAATACATATGTTAATTTTGTCTATTAATGCAATTAAATATTAATATATTAACATGATCAAATCATAGAATAAAAATTTGTCAGGTTTTAATCCAGTGTTACTGATTGTTCATCTATCTTTTCTTTCTCTTTCTATCTCTTTTTTTCTTTTTGTTTCTTTCATTCATCCTTTCTATCTATCTTTTTTCTTTCTATCTATCTATCTTTTTTCTTTCTTTCTTTCTATCTATATTTTTCTTTCTATCTATCTGGATCTGTAGTGTGAAAAAAAAATGTAAACACTTTCCACTTATAAATATTTGAATAAATATTGTAAATAAACCTTTTATTAAAATTATTCTATAATATAGGCTAACCAGTGCTCTGTTCTGAAATGTGATTAAACTGAAATTGCTAAGTAAAGATTTTAGGATATTTAATTTTTATGACTACACAAAAAAAGTTGTAAATACCACATAAAATTAATAATTAGTGAACTGATTAAAAGTTGTAAAAACACAGTTTTGCAAGAGAATAGTCTTTAGTCTTTCTACTTTAAAACTGCATGTGTAATTCAATGTGTAACTTTGTTGTTTGTAATTAATTGTGAGATTTACTAGTAATTTCTGAGTGACAATTTCTTTTTGATTTCTAATCTAAGTGTGTGCTTATATTTCCAGGTCAAAGTTCAGAGAGAAGCACTGCAAACAGGAAGATCAGGCAGCAGCAGACACATCTCTGATGTCTGAATTCATCCAATAAAGCACAATTAAGAAATCTAATCCATGAGCACAGGAGAAGATGTGTGTCACAAAAAAAGCAGAAACACAAGAGACGGAAGACAGAAAGCAGGAGTGAGAAATATGGAGAGCGCCACCAAAGGGCCGGACGTATCGCACATCACCCCTCCTCCACATGTTTTCATCCTTCACTGTGACCTTTGATCTCTGCCCAACCCCCTTCAAACACACACACACACACACACACACAGGCATCCAGTTTCCCCGAGTTAAATTAACAACACACTTCTGCACTGACTACAAGACGCACACGCAGTACTTGATCTGCTGACACACACTACATCACTCGACACACTCCTGATAGCAGCCGGATATGAGCTCTGTGTGTGTGTGTGTGTGTGTGTGTATAAAGG